CCGTAGCCATGGACTCTCATTCGTGCATATACACTGTTCTATTTATTTGACTCACCAGCATCTCTTAGGTATAAAAATTGATTGATTTCATCAATAAAGATAGTGGTAGTAGGGACTGAAACCTGTAATTGACGATTATGAAACAACTGTAATATTTTAAATCAGTTTTAAGGAAGTATTTTAGTATTTCGTTGTATTTGCAATCGTCAGCAGTCTAAATTGACGAATAGATCGCGTTGAACTTAAGATTCTTAATTCTGCTATGCTTATAACATAATTACTTGGTTACTTGTGTAAATGGCATCATATACGCAGTAAATATGACTGATCTTTCTAGTTGTCATCAGTATACTGTACTGATACGTTAACATTGAGCTATAGCTGCTATCTATTTCCACTAATTAAATTAAAACTCTGCTATAGCTTTATTAATTAACTGACTTGGAAAAATAATGTAATCGAAGGCTACTATCAATTTTAAAACTTTCTAACATGCATCAAAAGCATCAGTTTACATGAAATAGATTTTGCGCTATTTTTGTTAACCATTACCTCTTAATAAGTAAGAAAAATTTTAGCATTGGCGCGGGTAACAGCAAAATAATCATTAATAAGATACCAGTTTTTTGATACAGATTATTCCAAAATAATTACACATCCCCTACTACCCAACCCAACAGTATAAAGCGCTTATCTTAAATACAATCGCTTTTAATTAGAATTAGCGCAAAAGAAAAAAAGATACAGCTTCTATCAAAACTGTAGCTTTTCTCGAACTTAAACATCTATTTAATATTTTAGAAAAGCCACCCAAAATGTCCTCAGGATCAATGACTCAAGAACATCGTGAAATCCTAAGAGCCAGTCGTATGTTACTTGCTCAAAAATGTCGGGATCAAATCTCACCGATATGTGAATATTTACTTGAAGCGGAAATATTAACATTTTGCCACAAACAAGTAATCGAATCTAAATCGACGGCTTTTGAGTAAGGAATTTTTATATAGTACATGTTCAGTAACTGTTAAACAGTATTCTATCTAATATGCAAGCGCACGCTAAATTAATAGTTTGCTTATTTACTGCAAGAATAAATTTTGTAGTAGGAGAGCAGTTATCGTCATTATTTAATTTTATTTTACAGAAAAGTTCGGACTTTATTGAATATTCTGCCTGAGCGTGGCGATAGAGCCTTTGATGAGTTTTGCAATGCTTTAACATATTGTGAAATAACAGTGGAAAACTTCAATAGTGGTAAGCATTAAAGTTTACAAATAGACCTAACGATTAAGACTTAAGGATGTGATACACGATTATCCCACTTTCGAGTAGAAATAACAATAAAACGATCAGAGTAGAGAATAGTACGACAAGTACCGGTAATTAATAATATAGCTTTTTCGTAATTTAGAAAGTACAGCTTTTTCCGAAACTTTAGCTATAAAGGGCCTATGATAGCTAAAATTGCTCTATCGCAAGTCAATTGATAGAATCTGTTGCATCGATCAAAGTTATCCCTACTTTACAGCTTCTGTATTTGCATGCACTTAAAAATAGAGCTCATTTAAAGATCGAATAGTGTTAAAATACCTGCAAGGGTATTACATCGAGCCTATTGAACAAACTTATGTGTTTAGTATTTAAGAGTAGAAAGCGAATATTTTGGTATTTACACATGTTTTACTCGCTTCTGTTAACGCAAATTGATAGGTCTTGGGTCTATTTTGCAAGAATCTGAGATTAGTCGAAAGGAAGAAACAGCAATGCAAAACGCTATGAATCCAAATCAAGATGGTAAGTTAGTAATGGTCGTCTATTCATCGTAATTAGTTTCCTTGCATACGATATCGCAATGTATCAAAGTCAAAGTCATAAAATTAGGGATTTAAACAGATAGATTATAATGAATCAAAAGTGCAATCAAGGCTTAATGTAACAGTATAAACTAGTACAATGCTTAGAGAAGTTACAACAGAAAGAAATGATAAGCTAATAGTTTAGTTGATATAGATTGTTCTGCTATGATTTGATTTTATAAATGCACGTATAACAATGTGCACTTTTACTTTGAAACAAAATTTGTACTAAAAACTATCATAGATAAACAAACTAGCTTACATTACGATTAATTAATTAATGTTCTATCCTACTTGAAATTACTGCATTAGCAAGATTAAACTAGCTATAAGTAATTGGCCGCTACCGCTAACTTTATAAAGCCTACATAGCATGATGCTTATGTTATAAACCTGCAATAAGAATCAGGTTATCAACTTATTACATAATTTCCTTTCGATTTTTCTATC